CTGAACAAATGAACGATAAACCTAAGGAGAAGTACAACCCATTAACGAAATTCGGACTCCTATTTAAACTGTGATGGATTTGATAATTTTACGAATTAATGGTTTCTTCGTACTTGATGGCCTATGATTTCGAGTTTTCAAAAACAACAAGTTCGTGTGTGTTCATTCAGTTTCTCACAGCACAATTCAGAACAATGAAACTGAACATCTTCAGTGACAACCGTGAAGTATGTGTGCTCCGAAAACTGCAATTCATTGTGCAACGCTGGATACTTATTTTTCAACAGCACTTAGCACACCAAACTATCAACTCAGTATCGGTATCCTTTGTGAAGCTGAGAAAGACAACTCCGTTTTAGCTCGTTTGGAGGAAAATAATGGCCATTTATTGCTTCTGTCAACAATAGAAATTTGTAAAGAATCACAATCCGTCTAGATAACACCGAATTAAACTTGGTTTGTCACTCATCATTAACTTAACAATGAATGATGAAGTAACGAAGGATGACGATGGACATTCACAACAAACTCATTGTTGATTGCAATTAACACAAAATCACGTAAACACATGACTACTAATTCCGAAAAAAGTGTTGTCAAACTCTCGTAAGTAAAGTCAGCTTCTAACGAATAAAGACAATGACGTAAATATTATAAATCATGTTTGATATTTAATTAACAAGAATACATCGGCTATAACATAAACAAGCACAAAATGTACATAGTTCCGTGACGAAAAGTCCAAACCATTAAAACGAATAAATAAATCTAAAACTGTTCATTAAAATACGAAAAAGAAAAGCTGAATTGGTCAGAATATTCGAATTTAGTTATGAGACTTTGTTGAGAGTCATTCACTATTTCTCCTTCCTTTATGCTACCATCTACAAATAACACAACTGATGCATGCAGCAAAGAAGAAGACGACGGAAGGAATAACAATATACAGATACCAAAGTGATTTGTTCTGTCCACTTTCTTGAGTTATTTCAGTGGTCGCATTCTATAGAAAAAAAAACAGTAGCATTTATTACTAACTATCAAATATTTACCGAGTATTGATCATTTCCATTGGTAGTTCCCCCAACCTGAACTTCAGGGATCCCCAATGTTGTTTCTTCCTGATTGATGGGTGTCGATGTATTGAAATCATTAACATCCGGCCTCTTTTGAATAATCAAAACAGTGGCATCCATTACAACACATGAAATACGTTTTCATTAATTCATAACACATTACTGTCAATAAGAGTGATAAAATACAATTCAACAAACAGTAACAAAATGTGCATTTGTACAATCATTCAGAACATTTAACACCGATTTGACATACCTTAAAATGGCAACCATTCACTTTAAAGAAATGATTATCCTGATGATGACTGTCAATGCACGTGTTCCATTTCTCACACCAAATACATTTTACATTCGATGTTGTTGCTTTTCGACATGCTTCAGATGAATTGTGTATTGGACAAATTGCTGTAAACGTAATAAGGTGATTATATAATTCGAATACTTAAACAGAACTAAAGAGAATCACAATACATGGAACTATAACTAAATGACATGATAGTGATTTCAGTGTTAAGTGACTATTTCATTCACTGGAGAGTTGCTATCACAGTGCGTAATGCAATACTCAGTATACATTCAATTTCATTAACGTTTCACAACGGAATGTTTAGAGTGAATGAAACAAGTTAGAATATCAATTATGAACGATGAATTCCGACTGACAAACTTGACAGAATTCAATGACTGTTTACATTCAGATGTAAGCACAATGCTGTCACTGGTTTCAGCAAAGTATGTGGCCGCATTCTGGTCTGTGTACTTTCGGTTAATGCAACAGACTAGTTGGATCAACGAAAATTCATCGATAATAAAGACAATATTTTATGCAATGAATACTGAAGGTGATTTGATCATTGGATAATGGAATGATTCGCTCAGTGGTGGAAATGTTGTTTCAGTAGCCTAACACATGGTGAACTGAAATCTGTTTTAATTTACTGAGTGTTCATATTCAATTTCGTATTGTTATATACATCAATAATTCTGAGACTGTCTATGATGAATATAAGTTTGGTGACGTCACCTTTCTTCATCTTCATTTTATCGGATATGGTTAAGCAAAGTTGTTGTCAAAACTGTTAACAGCTCAATCTTAGACCATTTAGTCCAAACAGGACATACAGCCAACATCGAGCAATCTTTTGCAATAGTTTACCGTGTCAACAGCAGTCTACCTAATTCCGTCAGACTGCGAATCCTACAGACGGCTGAAGCAATTGCTATTCGGATCAAAAAGCCAGAGCTTTGTATCCAAAAGATGTATGTTCAGCCACTCCTTATACCCTGGCCAACTAGCTAATAATCAATCTTAAAATATGGTGACGTAATCTGATTAATGTTCATTTTATGTCCCAAACTTATTATTATTATTATTATTACTGCTATTATTATTATTATTATTATTATTATTATTATTGTCTTTACACTTGATAACCCCTTTTTGATGAATTTATTCAATATCCACCCCTGAATCGACTATATTTGACCTAATTATTTTACATATTACGTAATTTCCGATTTGTAATCACAATATTCTCTCTCTCTGTTACCCCATGTTGACCATATTTATTCTGATCATGATTGATTGCACAATTTCATTTCGCTTATAAACTGATTCAAGTTAACACTTCATATTAGTCAGCCCCAACATTAACAATTTTATTTTATATAAAAAACAATTCCTGATTCACATATTGCAATTTCCAAATGATGATGTATTTTGCCTTAAATTTGGCCAATTTTATGGATTATTAATCTGGATTTATAATTGTTGAACCTGATGAGAAATTATTGAAAAGAATATCCTTCGTTCATACAATTGTGTTCTTATCGGATATGTATGACAAAGCAGAGATTTTGGAAAGTAGCCAACCGTTTTGATGTTGAATCGCAATGACATTGAATGTTCTTGTGATTTCAATGCCCCAGAAAAATTCGATATCCCATGTACCAAAAAGGAAAAACAGAAGCTGCCTGGTCAATCCACAATCAAATAACTGTTACCTAATCTTTTTCCAGATTACTATCAAGTCATACATCGTTTTGTGAGCTTGTCCACAAGACTTGAATATCATTCTTGATATTTAAAAGTCAATCGACGTGTAGTTACTAATGGTAAGTGAAACGTATTTTGAGACGGATGCCTGGATGTCATTTAGTAGCCGACTGCAGTCACAAATGAAATTTCCAGAGTGTTGAAATAAAAAGGATGTATTCACGTGTTAATATAGTAAATGATGATAAATAAGGTTTAACATACTGCCAATGACTTCATACTCCACTAACGTGCCAGTTTTGATCCATTTTGAAGGAACAGATATCTCATGTTCTGTCTTACCTTGTGTGACAAATCAAAGAGAAAAAGCTAAGATTTAGCAACAACTGAAAAATTCAAGTTAACCCTATAAACATTTTTTCACGTTTCAGCTTACAAATAAACAACATGAAAGCATCAAATGAAAAACGAATGATGACTAGCGTTCCTTCTTATTTAAAAAGTCTCAACTGGATATTGCTGCATCTCGGCGTTGATGTTTACTCGTGGACAAGATCTGAGTACCATTCAGTTCAAACGTCAAACGGATATTCCTTCAACTATTAAGTCCAAACACCTACTGGTTTGTACGAAGCGTGAAAGGTTATTTCATTCCTGCTCTGTTAACTTAATCCTATCTTCGATATTTATGACGGCAGTCGATTCCACTGCTAACCACCATCCATCTTTGCCTACAATGCTTGTGATCAAAGAAAACATCGAAGCAATCATCACAGAAAGCGCATGAATCAATAAGAGACAGGTGGGAGAATTCAAACGAGCAATATAGAAATGACAAATTTCATCATTTTTTACTGACTCTGTTATGCACTTCAATGGAGCAATATGTATCACTTGACCAAATATTTGGTGCATGTTCTCACATGTGATCATGTAATACTGTATTCCGCTCATTTACTCAGCTTGAAAACTGAGCTTTATATTTCATCAACACATAAGATCGAACATTGTGTGCAGAAAACATTAGCTTCAGGTGCTACTTATTCATCACGCGTGACGATATTTTATCTGCCTAATTTCATCGTTCATATATGTCTACCTCTTTCAGTTTATCGATCTCCAAAAGTACTAAACATTTCTTATTAACATCAAAACTTTCGCGATAAAAAAACATTCATATACCTTAGTTACCTTACTCCAGATAGTCGGTCATATTAGCCTCAGTAAACAGATAATTGATCATAGACGTCACAGTGCGTCAAACTGTTAACATCATTCTTTGCAAAATTTCTTACCTGTTTTACATTGAAAGAATCCACGGATTCCGCACACTGTAGTGTTTGAAATTTCAAAAATATTCTGAAAGAGACATGGAACGAGGATTAGTCAGCACACAACCTTTTATATCAAAACAAATTGAACGCCAGCTGTCAACTTCAGTCAAGTTTGATGACTTATCAATCTAACATGTAATATGTTGACACACTGTGAGATGAAAATCTACGTCAGTTGTAAAGAAATGTGACTGTTAACAGCTTCATGGAAGCTGTGCTCAAATGATACATTATTGAATGTTCCGAAAAGCCTACCATTTGAAGATGAAATACAGTCTGACAGAATACGACACATTACATACACTATACTGACATACACTGGTTAGTAGTGTTTGACATGAACACATCATTGTTACAACTGATGTCACTTCACTTCTAATTACTCACATTTTAACAAGTACTAGAGTGAGTTGTGTCATTAATAGAATAATTACAAAGTCAAGTAGTTTGTTTACACATCACAAAATGTTGATCTTTTTCCATTGTGTTCAGTGTAGCTTAATACACATTCGACAGTATTCATACGCATGAAATAGTAGAATGATCTAAAGTACTTGAAACAAAACTAAATGTACATTCAGTTATATAACTTACGTTCTCATAATCTTCCCATTCGGATATAACAGATTAGTTACTATGGGTGTATTCTCTACAATTAAAAGACAAACGATACTTAGAATTTGAAAGATATGTGTAACACAGCATGTGCTCAATCACAAAGTGATCAAATTTAGTGTATAATTACTGAGTTGTGTCAAGTGCCTTCTTCAGTCGGATTCGCACTCAAACACATTGAACTAAACTTCATTTGAATGAAACGAGCATGCATCCTTCCAAACTAGTGTGAAATGCTGAGTTTCTGAATCTGCATTACTATTGTATTACTATTGAATCACTGAAGGTGAAATACTGCATATATATTCGCACATACGCAATATTTTCTATAAATTTCCTTGAAACAATCTACTCCAAGTACGTATGATATAAGTTGTGGAGCGTTTATTCACAAATACAACTTGAGAATCTCATTGATCACCTAATATATGGATATTTAAATCGATCAACTAACTCTGACTACAGTGTTTGTTTGTTGTAGATGAGAGTCGAATAGATTTGAATGTGTAATCTCAACGACTTCTCAATGTGGAAGGATATATAGATATATAGGAATGATTATGTGATGAATGGAAGTGTAGATGAATGTGATGTGCACAGGAATGACTTTGTGACAAACATATAACAGGTTTTCAAACAGGCAATGTGCATCAAGTCCCAATCAATTTGATCAAACGGTGAATGGATTTCACATTTGCTTCAACCCTCATTTTCTAGAAATGTAACAAAGTTTTACATGTCAATTTTCTGAAAACTGAATTGCGCAAACAGTGTGTGATCAGAAGGAGTAAAGAAGTAAGTGTGCAAATTTCACTTGTCATGAATAATGTTTACCTTTATCTTTTCCTTCAAGAGACAATTTGACAGCGATTAATCCCTCTGGATTATTGAAAATAAAAGTAGATAATGAAATTTGTGTAAAATGAAAATCCATCTGTTTTATTAAATGTACGTTTTAACATGGACTACCTCAGTATACAAGTTATCAGATTCATTCCAACATTTACATGAAACGGTGTGGTGAAATGCTCAATCATCGCTTATGAGGAAGGTTCAAGGATTATTGTCACTTCAACGATATGATGAACATTTCAATCTCTCTAAGTGAGAATGTTACACTTCTGTTAATTTTTCTCAAACGATTTCGACTGAGTAATTGTCTTTTGATATTTGTTGGATGCTAGATTTTGTTAATCGTCAATTTATATAACTGACCGAGATATACGGATGTAAACTTGATATTCTAGGTGTTCTAGTTTGAGTAAAGAATCTTGCACTAGTCGACTGTTCACGTTCGTTCATTAGTCCGCTGTGTCAGAAAGTGTTTGAATTCGAAAATTGTATGAATATGAATATGATTAAAGAGATACAGTTGAATATACGATGGTTGACAGACAGCGACTCAGAGACATTAAACTTTTAGGAATCAAGTAAGTGCTAGAAAAGTATTTTAGGGCATCAAACTGATTTATGTCAGAACATCGATTATTACTGAACATTTGTTTAGTTTGATTCACTCACTTTACTGAGAATTGTCGTATCGATGAGATTCCATATGTGCAAAATGTATTTGAGAACAGTAAATAAAACAAACTACAACTGAATAATTCACGAAACTCACTCTCATTCGAAAGTTGACGTGACAAATCTCTTCCTAAATAATTCGAGATTTGTCCAATTTCCTCGTTGTCTCTAAATAAACCTAAAACGCCTATAATTTTGGTAATGAAAACATACAATTCGATTGATAATTTCACATGGAATGAATAAAATATAAATTGCATAAGTTGGACATGTAACACGGAGCATGTAAGTGATTCATTGAAGAAATTGAATCCACTATGATTCATGCGATTAATTGGTGATCAAGTAAATTCAATAACAATTTTAGTTTAAAGAAAATTATGGACTTACCACTAGGCCAAATTTTAAATTTACTGACTTCACTTTCAAAAAATTTTAACGGGAATTCTGGTTTAATAGACTAAAAGGTGTAAATAAGTGGATAGCGCCTCAACTACAAAATGTAACCAACTCACTTTAGTCGTCTTGTACTCATTAAAACTGCCATGCACATTTGGACGAGGCTGATTGAGATTAATGGTTTGTGAGTAATAATAATGGTGAGACTGTATATGTCTATTAGAATCTGACTGATTACTTACATATCGATATGATTCATTCTTAAAAATCACTTGTTCAAAGTTCTTCCACTTCGGCTGTTTACAAATTTCATCGCAGATACAGAACACGGAAAATGCGTTCAAGATCATAGAAATTCTTATCAACAGATTATATGGAGAATTGAATCTGAAATGGTTCAGGTGAATAAAAGAACGTTATCTCATGGAATCAAATTTCAATTTGCACGATACACTCATTTACCTCTTGTGTTCAGCTAACACTCACCTCATCATCTTGTTCAAAGCAGTTAATGAAATTTCACTAAAAATTGTCTGGTATATATAGATTTTATGAGTGGTTGATTGTTTTATTCTGATTCGATGATTCAAAGTGACCATGAAGGTCAAATTTCGTTCATTATGTTCATTATTGACGGAAAACATTTAGTGCACGGCCATTTTTGTATTTTTTTTTCGAGTGAAATTTTTTTTCGTCCCTTTTGAAAAAAATTTACATCCCCATCTTTCAATAATTTTCATTCTGTTTCGTCCAATCAACTAACTAGTTTTGAGTTCGTTATAATTGGTCATTTATTTCTCTAAATCGATATAAAATATGAGGACTTGACGACAGAGCACATTTTCTTACAGTTATGGACCGTAGTAGCGTGCGGAGTACGGTCTCCGTCGTTCTTCACGTTGTCACAGAAACCGATAACCTATTCTTGAGCACATTGTGTCTCGTAGCGTTCCAATCTCTTGAAGCGTTGAAGAGCGCCATTAGAACGTATGAAAGAGCCACGTACTGCCATTATGTGGTGAGGGATTCTCATTTCCATAGAGATCGCAAGCCGTATATTATATTCGTATGTTGGAGAAATGGCCGTAGAACACCTAGCGGTTCCTCACACCCGAGTAGACGAACGAGGTAATTTGATTAGTGTTATTATAATTTTTCATTAAGGACTACCGTGAACACTCAATGTCTTTCCTTCATATTTTGTAAGTTATCAACTATCAAAATAACCTCAATATGGATGCAACGTTAAGGAATGACGAGGGGGAAATCGGTTCGATGAACTCAGAGGAGTTCACTGAACGAAATGACGACAATGACGGAAGCGCATATGACAACAGACTTTGTGATATTTGCAATCTTGTGCAACCGCCACATGAAACTGCTGATGTAATTGCCTGGATTTTTTTGTCCATGCGAAGCAATGCTTCATTTATTTTGTGCCTACGACCCATCACCAAACGTCCATGGAATCCACTGTCCCATGTGCGGCGCTATAACGGAGTCATAGCAACTTTTTTGTTCATGAAATTCGGAACTGTTAAGAGAACGAGTAAAGGCCCTTTTCAGGGCCACCCACAATTTGATTTGAATTCTTTTGTTTCAATCTCTTATTTCCATACCAAAGGTCAAGTGATGAAGCTATCAATATTCATTTAAGATTAATAGTCATTATGTGATTATCGTCCACGTATTCGTAAACGCTTTTTAAGCTTTATCAAATATAGGGTTTAAGTAAACGATTTCGTATAGGAAATGTCATCTAATGAACATTCATCTGTCTAAGAATAGTACATGCAAAACTGGTTCAGAATGTTTCAGTGTTTTGTCATATAGTTACGATAGGCGAATGTAGTACTACCAGTTCACTAGTACAACGACATCATTTCTATAGGAAAGGTCAACTGAACCAACAATGATGAATTCTAATTAAGCCTTAGTGATTAAGCAATATAATCAATTGAGATTTACAGAAATTTCGTGGATTAGATTATTTAAAGAGGATTTTATAAAACGTATAAATGTATCACTTTGTTCTTATTAAGCTGTGTAATTGAGAGAGACACTTATTTCCTCAGACGTAGGCTTGTTCTTTTATACTTAATGTAACTAATATTTCAAATACCTGTCAAAAATTGTTATTCAACAATATAGAATATTCTGTGGGGATTTTTAAACTGTAAATATGCTGTTGACATTACGTGCAAAACATTGTTAAGCTCAATTGACGAGCACAATAATCTATTCATCACATGACTACTTACATAGACAAGTATTTTTGGTCATAATTTTAAACTGCTCAACTACAAAGAATGTACAGGTAAAAACAAGTAACGCTTTTAATGGATTAGCAAAATAACACAATTAACAATCTTCCATTTATTTATGACACCATTTTTCCGGCGAAACTAGACAATTCTTTTGTACTAAGAATTACTGTTTGGAAAAGAACCCAATCACATAAATATTGTTTGCTATTTTCTGAGAGAAGTTATTACTATTTTGCTTCATTCACCGATCATTAACGATTAGCGTGATTTATGCATGCCCTATTCATTATTTTTTATCATGATGATTTATGGATTAGTTGCTACGCATATAACGTTTAATAAAATAACATACGATGTGTTAAGAAAAAACTAATGGGAATACTTCGATGAATGATTTCTTTACTAATTGTGTATTAAAAATTTGACCACCACCTTTCTCTTTGATTTGTCACACAAGGTAAGACAGAACATGAGATATCTGTTCCTTCAAAATGGATCAAAACTGGCACGTTAGTGGAGTATGAAGTCATTGGCAGTATGTTAAACCTTATTTATCATCATTTACTATTTTCACACGTGAATACATCCTTTTTATTTCAACACTCTGGAAATTTCATTTGTGACTGCAGTCGGCTACTAAATGATATCCAGGCATCCGTCTCAAAATACGTTTCACTTACCATTAGTAACTACACGTCGATTGACTTTTAAATATCAAGAATGATATTCAAGTCTTGTGGACAAACTCACAAAACGATGTATGACTTGATAGTAATCTGGAAAAAGATTAGGTGACAGTTATTTGATTGTGGATTGACCAGGCAGAATCTGTTTTTCCTTTTTGGTACATGTGATATCGAATTTTTCTGGGGCATTGAAATCACAAGAACATTCAATGTCATTGCGATTCAACATCAAAACGGTTGGCTACTTTCCAAAATCTCTGCTTTGTCATACATATCCGATAAGAACACAATTGTATGAACGAAGGATATTCTTTTCAATAATTTCTCATCAGGTTCTACAATTATAAATCCAGATTAATAATCCATAAAATTGGCCAAATTTAAGGCAAAATACATCATCATTTGGAAATTGCAATATGTGAATCAGGAATTGTTTTTTATATAAAATAAAATTGTTAATGTTGGGGCTGACTAATATGAAGTGTTAACTTGAATCAGTTTATAAGCGAAATGAAATTGTGCAATCAATCATGATCAGAATAAATATGGTCAACATGGGGTAACAGAGAGAGAGAATATTGTGATTACAAATCGGAAATTACGTAATATGTAAAATAATTAGGTCAAATATAGTCGATTCAGGGGTGGATATTGAATAAATTCATCAAAAAGGGGTTATCAAGTGTAAAGACAATAATAATAATAATAATAATAATAATAATAATAATAATAATAATAATAATAGCAGTAATAATAATAATAATAATAAGTTTGGGACATAAAATGAACATTAATCAGATTACGTCACCATATTTTAAGATTGATTATTAGCTAGTTGGCCAGGGTAAAAGGAGTGGCTGAACATACATCTTTTGGATACAAAGCTCTGGCTTTTTGATCCGAATAGCAATTGCTTCAGCCGTCTGTAGGATTCGCAGTCTGACGGAATTAGGTAGACTGCTGTTGACACGGTAAACTATTGCAAAAGATCGCTCGATGTTGGCTGTATGTCCTGTTTGGACTAAATGGTCTAAGATTGAGCTGTTAACAGTTTTGACAACAACTTTGCTTAACCATATCCGATAAAATGAAGATGAAGAAAGGTGACGTCACCAAACTTATATTCATCATAGACAGTCTCAGAATTATTGATGTATTTAACAATACGAAATTGAATATGAACACTCAGTAAATTAAAACAGATTTCAGTTCACCATGTGTTAGGTACCGAAACAACATTTCCACCACTGAGAGAATCATTCCATTATCCAATGATCAATTCACCTTCAATATTCATTGCATAAAATATTGTCTTTATTATCGATGAATTTTCGTTGATCCAATTAGTCTGTTGCATTAACCGACAGCACACAGACCAGAATGCGGCCACATACTTTGCTGAAACCAGTGACAGCATTGTGCTTACATCTGAATGTAAACAGTCACTGAATTCTGTCAAGTTTGTCAGTCGGAATTCATCGTTCATAATTGATATTCTAACTTGTTTCATTCACTCTAAGCATTCCGTTGTGAAACGTTAATGAAATTGAATGTATACTGAGTATTGCATTACGCACTGTGATAGCAACTCTCTAGTGAATGAAATGGTCACTTAACACTGAAATCACTATCATGTCATTTAGTTATAGTTCCATGTATTGTGATTCTCTTTAGTTCTGTTTAAGTATTCGAATTATATAATCACATTATTACTTTTACAGCAATTTGTCCAATACACAATTCATTTGAAGCATGTCGAAAAGCAACAACATCGAATGTAAAATGTATTTGGTGTGAGAAATGGAACACGTGCATCGACAGTCATCATCAGGATAATCATTTCTTTAAAGTGAATGATTGCCATTTTAAGGTATGTCGAATCGGTGTTAGATGTTCTGAATGATTGTACAAATGCACATTTTGTTACTGTTTGTTGAATTGTATTTTATCACTCTTATTGACAGTAATGTGTTATGAATTAATGAAAACGTATTTCATGTGTTGTAATGGATGCCACTGTTTTGATTATTCAAAAGAGGCCGGATGTTAATGATTTCAATACATCGACACCCATCAATCAGGAAGAAACAACATTTGGGATCCCTGAAGTTCAGGTTGGAGGAAACGTCACGGAAACTACCAATGGAAATGAACAATACTCGGTAAATATTTGACAGTTAGTGATAAATGCTACTGTTTTATTTTTCTATAGAATGCGACCACTGAAATAACTCAAGAAAGTGAACAGAACAA